TTATCGGACACTGTGTACAACGTGGTCCGCCATTGTAATTAAATACTGCAGCCACTGAACGACGCGCGATACAATTTACACCGGTGGCCGTGGAAATTGCACCATTTTAACGATGAATAAATGCATTCGTTTTACAATAGATTACGTTACGATATCATTGATTATTATTCGAATTGTACAGAAGTGTGAACGAAAACCACACGTCGGATGGAATTAACAACACTGTTTTTTCATGCGTCGAGGCGTTGAAGAAGCTGATGAAAAGCAACATTAGGTGAAACATGCAACTTCATTGGCCACTTGTGTACGTCTCGGTGTAAAAGCAATCCTCGATCGCGTGCGAAATCATTTCTGTCGATGAAAGAGAGAGAGAGAGAGAGAGAGAGAGAGAGAGAGAAGGGAGAGAGAGAAAATTGCGCGCGTGATTTAGAAAAATTAGCGTATTACCAAATGAGCGTTATGCCCTATATATTAGATACCGTTCGCCACAGTTCCAATCGCGACAAAATACATACACACGGATCGTGAAACATCGTTATTATCATCATTACTGTTATTATTATTATCGCTACACGTTAGTACATCGATTCCCTCCGAATTCGTTCCGAAGAATGTACAGTGACTCCCGTTAGTAATCGGACACCCTTTGAAACGCAATAATATTTTTAAAACTAGAATAAACGATTTGTATCTTTTTTTAGATGATAAAGCGACCGGTCTACTAGATCGTAACTAGAATGTTTTCTTTTTTTTTTAATTTTGCTATTGCTTTAGAATGACAAGAGATAATAAAGAACTCTCGTTTTTTAACTCTTCTCTTTTATCTTAACATTTCACCGAAATCGATTAACACGTTACAAGCGTCACAAGCCTTAAAAGATCGTCGAAACTACAAGTTTCTCGCATCTATTGGTCAAAAGTGTTAAAAATCGGGACAGCAGTCGCGATTTCTGCGATCTTTAAATGTTCACAGCGCATGCGAAGGTTAACCGATTTCGATGAAATTTCTAACATTCATACATTCTTACCGAAATTCACAAAACGCATGTTTCAAGTTTTCGTTATAAGCTCAAATAAAAAACAAATCAAAAATGTGTTTTTTCCTTATTTTCTCTTGTCGTTCCGAGCAATGACAACAAATTTAAAGAATATGTATTCTAGTCGCTCTATCGTCTAAAAAAAAATAAAATTCAAGTTGTTTAGTCCAGTTCTAAATGAGTTGTTGCGTTTCGAAAAGCGTTCGAACATTAACTGTACAGTCACTGTACATATACATTTATTTTCTTTTGCGAGGAGCCAGACTCTTCGGACGATACATTGCGTAGAATTGATAGACGTTTATTAGATTTCTCGCGTGGAAAATACGCACATTCGCATCCAGTATTAATTAACCCGAGGAAATCGCGACGAGTTTCCTTCGTTGTTTTCGTTCATTTGCTTTCAACGTAAACGCATGAGCCGATCACGACAAAATCATGTAATTTATTCCGCGTTTTCGCCACTCTCGAAGAAACGAAGTTGATCTTTCATTTCCAAATGGAACGCTCCGAAGCAAGAATAAATGCGACAATTTTCAAAATAGGATATCAAAATCTCGCCTGATCCTCGTACTCGTTGCAACTATATCAAAAATACGCAGCATTCCATTTTCAGCACTGAAGATCACTCTCGTCCCTCGGAAGTACCGAAAACACAAGAATATATTCAAGAACATTGCTCTTTAACCCTTTGCACTCGAAGCCATTTCAACTGTAAATCTGAAAATGATTTTTCCGACCTACGCTGTCTGTATTTTATACGATAGAGCGCATTTTATGCGTGTGAAATTGGCTCTTGCGACTTATACAACAATTATACTTTTAACGATTTTTCGAATCTAAATTTTCTTGATGTAAGAATTATTTTGGAATGTGACATTAACATTTTTTAGTGGTGCCTCGAGTCACCAGTCGAGCGCAAAGGGTTAATTTTCATCACGACTCGTGAAGACATTCCGTTTTCATTTGTGCATTCTCTCTCTCTCTCTCTCTCGTCCGTTCCATTCTGTTTCTCCCTTGATCGCCACCGCGCGTCTCGACCCGTTCTTCGGTCCTAGCTTCCAAAAAACGAGAAACGGAAGAGTTGCTTTTCAGCCACAACGACTATGACGACGACGACGACGACGACGATTCACGAAAGCAAATTTTGTTGAGGAGACCACGTCGGTGAAAAAGAGAATCGAATCAGAGAGCACGAGGACCGGAAAGACATTCTTCGGGAGTGAGGAACGCGTGAAAACGATGAAGCACGGACGGTAACCGCGAGCACTATAGGTTTCTAATGAGCGATTTTACCTAGGACGGAAGGAGGATTAAACGTTAATGACAAAAACCCAAAAGTATTTGGCTTAGTATGGCTGTGTTTAGGGCAGTGTTGTAAATCTGAAAGTGGTGGTACCCGTTTGCGGTAGTAGGCCCTTTAAGTGCGGACACATTCGAACGCCGGTAGCGTGCCAGCGACGGTCCACCCGGTCCGACGCAAGGATTTTTAAACAGTTCATATTTATCACAAATTAATTAATAATCGTGTCGCGTGTTCGACGAATCAGATTTGCCGGATCCGGCGATTTCTGCGAACAAACCGATCGACGCCTCTTCTCTCCCTCTCTTTTTCTCTCTCTCATTCTCTCTGTGTTTCTTACATTTTTTCGATCGCGTCTCGACCGGGCGAACGTGTGTGTAAAAATGGAACTTGAGCTCGCTCGAATCGCGACAGAGGAATCGAGAGACAGAGGGTGCGAAGAAGGGGAGGGCGGGGAGGAAATTCGCAAGAAGATTCGCTTCCGACGAGGGGAGAAGAAAAACTCGCGGAAGCGGCTTTCACCATCCCCCCTCGTCGGAGCTTCGCTGGCATGTCGGCGTTCGTGGCAATTTATTATTGTAACGAGAAGCGAATGATAACACAACTCTCTCTATACATATATATATATATATATATATATATATATATAAATATATATTATACGATTTTTGTTTTCTTTTTTATATTAACGGAACACAATGTAGGCCGCGGCTCTATCGGGAGGTCGGAAATTTAACTGTCCGATAGACGTTAACCACAGACAGAACCTATCGATCGTATATAATAATAATAATAATAACGATGATCGTTATTATTATACGGTTATTATTATTCTTATGATTATGATTATCGAGATATCAGTTATAGAGTACTACTTTTTATTATGACATTTCGTAAATAGTGAATCATCGATGATGATGATGATGATGATGATGATGATAATTGTCTAATTAAACGACTACTGAGACGCAACCTGTAACATTTGCCCCCCCCCCCCCCAAGGGGGAAAAATAAAAAAGAATTTAATA